CCATAATGTAGACAGAGAGATTGCATGAGTCTTTGGTGTTCGGTAAAACAGTCCATGTGACATCAGTGGCTCAACTTCAATTTTGCGAAGCTACGAGAATACTTTTTATGCGCAAACAAAACAAAAATAATATAATTTATTTAACAATTCTTCTCCCCCGAATTACTGTCTTCCGCCATTTTGGAGAGTATCACAATGCATATGCACGCTTTACCCTAAGTGTAAACAACGCTGATTACGCCGATTACGTTCATGCGCACGCTTTCCCCCTAACGTAAACAACGCCTATTGCAATTATGGAATTAGTGGAATTACTAGGAATTTCACTGTTATAATATTTTTTGTTTGTTTTAGCTGTTTCCATAATGTAGACAGAGAGATTGCATGAGTCTTTGGTGTTGATTTATATAATAAAAAGCTTATAATAAATCAGTACACTAGATGAGGACTTCTGGCCAATTATCATATGGGGGATGATATGGCACTTGGCCTGAAGCGATGGTTTATATTTTAAAAAAGGAGCAAGGAGCAAGGACATTGGTGTCATCAGTGGCTCAACTTCAGTTTTGCGAAGCTATGAGAATACTTTTTATGCGCAAAGAAAACAAAAATGACGACTTTATTCAAAAAGTATTCACCCCCGAGTTACGTCTTCCGCCATTTTGGATAGTATCACAACGCATACACACGCTTTACCCTAAGTGTAAACTACGCTGATTACATTCAGAAAGCGTTCAGATTACGCTTTATCCCTAACGTAAACAACGCCGATTACATTCTTGGGTACTCTCCAAAATGGCAGAAGACGTAACTCGGGGGAGAAAAATTGTTAAATAAATTATATTATTTTTGTTTTATTTGCACACAAAAAGTATTCTCGTAGCTTAGCAAAATTGAAGTTGAACCAGTGATGTCACATGGACTGTTTTACCGATGTCCTTGCTACGTTTCTGCCTGGGAATATTTCAGTTGTGTTGCTGTCTATGGAGGGTCAGAGAGCTCTCAGATTCCATCAAAAATATCTTAATTTGTGTTCCGAAGATGAACGACTTACGGATTTTGAACGACATGAGGGTGAGTAATTAATGACAGAATATTTATTTCGGGGTTGAACTAACCCTTTAAATCTCACATTTATTCTTCTTTGATTTTTTTTTATTTTTATTTTTATTAGGATTGGAGCATCAACGGTGGTATTGTCTTGTGACAATGGGCACTGTGGGTCTGCATGTGAAGTAAAATTAGCATTGGCATCAAGTAGCAGACCTGTACGAGCCCCGATTCAGTGACGCACATCAGATGGCCACATGTCGCTCTTCCCCCAATGTGCTGGAAGAAATAAGCTGCCAGCCTGTCCTCTGGGTGTGAAATCAGAGCCAGTTCTCCTTGGTGGAGTTCTCTGACCGTGGGGGGACCATGCTGACCTGAATGCAATCCTGGTGGGGGGTTTCTGCCATTGTAGCATGGCAGTAATGGTGGCTACGGTCGCTGAGCCAACAGAAATATGCTGCTTGCCTCCAGGAGCGTGAACCGTGGCCCAGTAAATGGGATGGGATGGTGCCTCAGGTTGGGGGCCGATATGTTGCACACGCTCTTTTTCTTACACATAGCCAATACTTGCATCAGTCCAGAGAATGAAAAGGATGAAAAAGATTGCAAAAAAGTGGAAAAAATGGCTTACATTGTAATTGTACTTGTAATTTTAATAGTTAATTATATTATCAATTAATTTAGTGTATTGCCATTAGAAAGCACTGCACAATAAGACAAATTAAGACAAACAGAAATTTTGCCAGAGATTAAGATCTTAACAAAGTTATAATCTCCATTTATGATTTGTCCTGCATCTTATTGTCATAAATAGGACTAGCCGACAATATTTTGTGTGCTTTAAAAATTAATCATCATCATCACAATTTACTTTACAATAGGGTTGTGCCGATAGACGATAGTATCGTATATCGATGATAGTCAGAGATATCGACGATAGCAGATGTCTTTGTCGATAGTCAAGACGATATTAGGCTCATTCTCCTATTAATGTATTAAATAATAATAATAATTCATTATAATTCGGCTATTATTATCAAATTGCCCAGCTTTTTCATTCAGCACTGTATTGCACACACACGCGCGCGCGCAAATGTAGTCGCTGAAGGAGTCTCCAACCACAAACACAGACACACATCATCTGCTGATATAAGGTATTTCGTTGCAATTTAACAAGTAATCTAAATGGCCTATATATGTGCAATATTTTAACCGAGCCCTCACAAACTGAGCTTAATACCACAGTTATGTTAGAATGCATCTCATTCTTGTTTCTGTGGTGGTGCGTCGGGCTCATAATCAGTGTTGCCAAGTCCGCGGTTTTCCCGCGGAATTGGGCTACTTTAACACTGTTGCCGCAGGTTGTTTTTCATGTCCGCGAGTTGAAGCGACCCCAATAACGTGATATTTAGACCCTGGAATGCGAATTTTACTGGAGGATCCCCGCCGAAAAACATGTATTTTACCCCCCTTAATGCGATTTTTACCAGGGTACCCCCCTCGAAATGCGATTGGGCTAGTTTTGAGTAGCAGTTGGGCGGGGTTTTTTTTGCGAAAACCTGGCAACCCTGCTCATCATGGGGCGCTCGGTCCGGAGTGCTGTATGACTGATGTACTATCTGTTTAATTTCAATTTACTCCAAATATATGAACTTACCTGTTTTAAATACTTTATATTTAACGTGTTCGTTTATGTCCAATACTTAGTGTTAAACTGTTGGTTTTTAAAATAAATCTACTTTTGATTTTCACCGTTTTTTTTCACTGATTTTGCAGACCTTTTAGACTGATAACTTCCGTGCGTCGATGCCGAAACTTGTAACAGGACGCGCGGTCCTAATAGCGATGTAGCTATGACTGTTGTATCCGAATATATATGAACTAGCTGTTTTAAATATTTTTGTATTTAACATGTTAGTTTATCAGTATGTTTGAAAGTATATTATTTAGATT